CTTGAAATCATGTCCTGTCATGTCTTCAGATCACATCAAATAATTGCATCTCAGTCTTCATCGTCCAATCATATCTATAACAGTTTGCTTAAAATACAAATACGCTCTTACAGAAAAGGCTCCCAATCGCCTTTGCCTTTTGATTCAAGTAATTCTTACTTCTTCAGCATGACAAGTGAATTGACTCGAGAGAATTAAAAAGAGCTGCCTAAAAAATTGTTAGTACATGATTGCATTGCATATGAAACCACATTATTTAACTGTGATAGTTCACATTCTGCTGTAAAGTAATATCTCTATCTCCAGCAAACGGTTTATAATGGGGAAAGGAGATCAAGTTTTTTTGGCCTAGTCTGTCACTTCTAAAAATGAAAAGAATAGAAAGTTAAAGGCTACTATTTTAGAGCACTTTTATTCTAGGTGCTAGAAAGTCTCACAGTGTTGTAAACCTCTAGTTAAAAGTTTTTGGATAGTACTCACTTGCTGTAAGTTGTTTTGCATTCCTTAGAATTTAAAGAGACCACTGGCTGTATATCCATCGGGCAGCACTATCCTTCAACAAGCACAAAGTTCTTGTGCTATTTTGATCCTTATTTAATCCGGCAGTGAGACAAGTCCAACTACAAATTCACAAGTAATATCACATCACAAATTAAGAATAACTGCCATGATTCTTGAAGTTTGGAAATTTAAAAAGAAGAAAGTTGATACCATGTCTAACAGAAATACTTCAGATTTATCTGAACTGTAGACTCAAAGGTGTCCAGATGGCTTAAAGCTATATCTATTCTTTTCATAGTTAAACTGAGGCAGAAGTCTAAGTAATATCTATGCAATAAGTCATATGTATTGTAAAACATTTCAGTAAATACTACTTTAAAACTTAATATGCATGGGTGTCCAGACTTTTGACCACATAAAATATACAATAGTGTATGTAAGTAACAAAAATTCTTTTACTTTTTCATATTTTTTTATTGAAATGTAAAATAGAGGGCAATAAAACCATAAAACTAGCAGGTTGGACACGTATGCTTTATAGCATTTTATATAGAGAGATGCTTCAATTCCTCTGTTCCTAATTGATGTATATCTAGAAAATCCATTGCTAATTGCACAGTTTGCTAAACAGAAAAGATACTGAAAATTTACTTTGTACATTAACTTTTCCTGCCCATTAATCTAAAACATAGTAAAAGAGAGATGACTAAAATGAGATAAACAACTTGAAAATGTGCCAAACGCTTACCTTTCAGAGACTGAGAATGTTCTTCTATCTAGATTCAACCTATTGTAGATTCACATATTACTAATAAAATTATACATATTAATAGACTTCTATTAAGAAAAAAATTTCACACTCTTTTTGAACACACTGTTAGTTACAACTTCTTAGCTAATCATTATATGAATATTCCACTCAGAACAAATCCATCTTTCTTCACTCAAGCTCTCTCAAAATTTTTCAAGTCTTAAGAACCAGATTGAAAGCAAGTTAAAAGAGAAAAACAAAACAAAACAAACAAAAAAACCCTCTACTTTTAAGAAGTTGAATCAATTTCCAAGAGAATTAATCCTTAGAATATTGTTAAGGCTTTGCAGGGGTTTAGATTTTGAATGTAATAATGTGTGTAGATCAGGAATAAAGAGTGATGTCAAAATGCTACATGGAGTTAAGTTTGCAATTTTTTATTCCAACAAAAGTTAAAGGATAAAGTGTTTTTATTATTTTCCTTAAGTTATGTGCAATACACTTATTGATAAACCTCATTACAAGGGTGGAAGGACTCCTGCTTCATGTTACCTTACACTGCAAGATGCTAAAGGATATTGTTCAACTCCTGCTAGGTGCCTCATAGTGAGCTGAGTCCCAAGGCATTTCCTTTAAATTGTCCATGGCACCAGTAGCCTAACAAGAAGCAAAATTATCCATGTATGGTATCCTATAGCGGGAATAAATAGGTTGAACATGGAAATCTACTATGACTAGTCAACGTAGCCATTTATTTACATAAGTTAATTTTTATTGTTTCACTGCTTTCATTTTGCGGGAAAGCAGATATGGACACTGCTGATTTGATCTGCCTTAGCTAAGGATGTGCATATGCTTTTACAGTGCAAAAGTCTCTGATTATGGCTTTCTCAGAGCCATTGCAGGAGCCAGTATTTGCCCCAAGACATATTTCCACATAGCAATAGGCACAAGGGCACTGCGGAAACAACATTCACTATGTTACTAAAAATTAATTAGGGAGAAAAATGCTTTGACTACTTCAGAACTCCATATCATTATTCAGCATGGAGAACTCATTTGCTAAAACATTT